TTCCGTTCGACTTCCGAGGTACCACTGTATATAAATAGAGCCTCTTGCAGCATCTTGATAAAGGAATCTGGACTTCTGCACTCCATTTTTTGTCCAGCCCTGTGTTTCCCAAACACCTGTTTGCCAGGTAATGGAACTGCAGAAACTGTTGACATAGGGGAGGCAGGAGGTTGTGTAGCAGTTTACTATTTGCCCATTCTCTCCCATGATTGCTACAGCCAAGTACTTTCCCCTCAAGTCAAATTTTTGGTTTGAGCCTCTTTAAAGGGAACAGTGGATGCGAAAGAGTAGGCCCACTCTTTTAATTCTTTTGCTTTATTTCATTTTCCTGTGGAGTACTTGATTTATATATTTGTACAAAACATATTTTCATCATGTGCTTGCTGTACTTCTCATTCTGTGGGTTGTCTAAATAATAAAAGTTCTGAAAACTAGCTTAGCCTAGTGAGAGCTGCCTCTTTGCTCCACTATTAACTTGTTTGGTGGCCTTGGAAGGTTTCATTGCTTCTGCTTAAACATTCCTCATAGAGTTTTCAGGAAGATGAATAACTACCGTAATTATTTTACATACATTAGAAGTAGTGGGTACTTCAGTAAAATGAAAATTAATCCCAGCTTTTAAATTTTATGTAGTTTCTATACTTAGGTAGAAAACCAACTATTATTAATGCATTGGCCACAGTCTAGCAGACTTTCTCACCCATGCTTTTCAACATCTACATGCAGCCGCTGGGAGAGATCATCAGGGGGTTTGGGCTGGGTGTTCATCAGTATGCGGATGATACCCAGCTCTACCTCTCTTTCAAATCGGAACCAGTGAAGGCGGTGAAGGTCCTGTGTGAGTGTCTGGAGGCGGTTGGAGGATGGATGGCGGCTAACAGATTGAGGTTGAATCCTGACAAGACAGAAGTACTGTTTTGGGGGGACAGGAGACGGGCGGGTGTGGAGGACTCCCTGGTCCTGAATGGGGTAACTGTGCCCCTGAAGGACCAGGTGCGCAGCCTGGGAGTCATTTTGGACTCACAGCTGTCCATGGAGGCGCAGGTTAATTCTGTGTCCAGGGCGGCTGTCTACCAGCTCCACCTGGTACGCAGGCTGAGACCCTACCTGCCTGCGGACTGTCTTGCCAGAGTGGTCCATGCTCTGGTTATCTCCCGTTTGGACTACTGCAATGCGCTCTACGTGGGGCTACCTTTGAAGGTGACCTGGAAACTGCAATTAATCCAGAATGCGGCAGCTAGACTGGTGACTGGGAGTGGCCGCTGGGACCACATAACACCGGTCCTGAGAGATCTGCATTGGCTCCCAGTACGTTTCCGAGCACAATTCAAAGTGTTGGTGCTGACCTTTAAAGCCCTAAACGGCCTCGGTCCTGTATACCTGAAAGAGTGTTTCCACCCCCACCGTTCAGCCCGGACACTGAGATCCAGCACCGAGGGCCTTGTGGCAGTTCCCTCATTGCGAGAAGTGAGGTTACAGGGAACTAGACAGAGGGTCTTCTTGGTAGTGGCGCCTGCCCTGTGGAACGCCCTCCCTTCAGATGTGAAGGAAATAAGCAGCTACCTTCTCTTTAAAAGACATCTGAAGGCAGCCCTGTTTAGTGAAGTTTTTAATATTTAATGCTGTATTGTTTTTAACACTTGATTGGAAGCCGCCCAGAGTGGCTGGGGAAACTCAGCCAGATGGGCGGGGTATAAATAAATAAATTATTATTATTATTATTATTATTATTATTATTACATGCAAAGACTTGCACATGCACAGCAGGTCTAACATTTCCCAATAGCAGCCTTTCCCAAGACACATTACATGCTGCTCTCAACAGGGGAGAGTCCAGTTGTGCCTGGGTCCAGCTTGGGAGCTTCTCGCAGACTTCTAGTTGGCCACTGTGGAAACTGGAGGTTGCACTAGATGGACCACTGGCCTGATCCAGCAGTCCCTTCTTATGTTCTTAACTCTTCCCTCTTTGTAATTCCTATGTTTAAAAATAAAGGTGGGGAGGCTATTGCTTGTAGAAGCAAGGCACATGCCATGCTTTATGCCTGGTTCTGGTCATATTGCTTCTAGGCTGGGCAGTTCTCCCTTACTGTACGCCAGTGTTCTGATAATTATACCCAGAAAATATTTTGATAGGTTTCATACATTCATATGCTTTATGAATGTTGGTTTGCTTCATTGGTTAAGAACATGAGCTCTTAGCTAGACGTCTGTAGTACTAATGTCATCTTAGTCCTGCTGCTGTTTCTCAATGTGTATGGAGACTTGTATAACGTTGACAGTAAGTGCACTGTGGAAGCAAGCAGACCACAATAAGCACACATACAGCCTTCTTCCCTGGGTCAAGAGAAACCTGTTCTGCCTCTAGCAGAAGCTAGATTTGCACAGCATCAATTGGCCAGCTCTGGTGTTATTCGCAAAGTCACATTTCCCCCCTCCCATCTCGGAGCAGGGATTTGAGGGCCGTTGTGTCAATTGCGATGAAGCTGTTTAAAAAGCCTTTTTTAGGTAAAAAACATAAAATGCTGAACAAAAATTAAAACAGATAAACATAGAAGGTATTTGAAAACAAAGCAGAGTTTTTCTGAAGCATGGGGCAGAGGGTGGGGAACAGTGTTGGATCCAGAAGCTTTTATATGTGTTTTTACAGGGGTGGAAGGTGCAGAGCTGGCATTGCAGCAGAAAGCCCACACCCATTCCTGTTTCAAGGCATTTTTGCCTTGGACTTAGTCCCCATCTGTAAATATTATGGAGATAACCTAATATCCTTACAGTGTTGTAAGGATCAGAGATTGCTGTATGTGGAGCATAGTGAGAAGAGTATAATAATAAGTATTATCAGATTTCTCCAGTTGGGAGTTGGGTGCTGTCATAAAGTCATATCTGAAAGAATAATAGTGTTTATATAGCATGTTAGGGTGTTCAAGGTGCTTAGTGAACTTATTGTAATTTTACAAAAAAACCTGTGAGGTATTATTGCATAACACAGGCGGGGTGGGGGCCTGAGGCTGAGAGAAGAACTTGCCTAAACCCTTTGTAAGGGTAGCCAGCATCATGCCCTCCAGATGTTGGACTCCCCTCCCCATCAGTCTCAGCCAGTGTTGCCAGTGGTCAAGAATTATGGGAGCTGTAGTCTACCAACACATGCCTGAAGGGCGCCATGCTGGCTACTCCACCCTAGTGAGTTCATGGTGAAAAAAGATTCAAAATAGGGATTTTCTGATTTGTAACCTAGTCTATGATGCACCAGCTCTGAAATACACACAATTCCTGTAGCTCAATATACCCTACAGGATTTTAAAAGGTTTTAGGCCTTGTAACAGGCAGGCATGGTGAGTTTTCCTTCCTCTTTTAAAGCAGGGTGGAGTAGGTATGAGCCTTAGGTGCCAAGTAATGGGCAGAGGAGATAGATGGCAGTTGACTATGTGTCCTTTCATGCTGCTGCCTGGGATGTGTGTATAAAGGGCAAGGCATCTCTGTGGTTTGTTTGGTATGTCTCTGGTGAAATGAGAGGGTGGAGTTTCTGTAGAAGATTTTGTGAGCAGAGAGTACTCTGCTTATTATGGGTAAGGAAAGAAGCATCCTTTCCCTTCTCTCTGGATTCCCTTTCTCATCTTTCTAGGCTGTATCAAAGATCCTATAGAATGAAGCCCAAATTTCAGAGAATTGAGTTTTTTTGGATAGAGATGTTCCCAGGGTTTGCTTTGTTCTGTGGCGTTCCTCCCACGCTATATATCGACTGGTGACTCATCTTCCTTTACAGGATCGGTTGCAACAGCAACTTGTTCAGGGAAATAAAAACAAAAAACCACTTCATTTTCTACTGAAAGAGACTTGTTTTAGCATTCAGCTTTATTTTGGAGTGTCTTCAAAATTGCGGGTAATTTGCCACCCACAGAACAGACAGGGTTGCCACTAAAATTCAGCGTGTATGTCAGCTTGGCCTCTGGTCTTAAATTTCAGGGCTAAAGTTTCAGGACAGCTCGGGCACTTAAAATTATATGTTGGCACCTCAGAATCTTGACACTTTTTACTAGCTGTGTATAGTCCTGTCTCTTCAGAATGTGAAATAAACAAAGACAGCAAGAAATATAATGCATTCTGGTTTGGAAAGAAAAATAAAAAAGACACACACCAAACCTGCTTCTACATTTTAGCTGCGTCCCCCCGTCCTACCCCCAGTTTTCTGCAAACTGATGGAATTATTGCTATCTGCCAGTTAAAGTTACAGAACTTTAATGGAAAGTATTCGAGCATTATTTCTCATTTGAGGGTGGTCCTTGTGTTTTAATTGGGTGGAGATCAGGAGCTGGAGGCTCCAGCTGCTTAACCAGAGAAATTTATGGAAAGGATGGCAGCTATTATCATGACTTGCTGGAAGTCCACTTCGGAGAGGGACCCCTCTCCCTGTGGCCATCCTGTAAGGTAGACTAGAGCAATATGATCTTCATCCATGTTGAAATTTTCAATTTTCCCCTGGCTATAAAACAGGGGAAGCACCTGCAGCTTCCATTCCAGTAAGCACCTGCAGCTTCTGAAGGTCCTGGAGCAGCAGAAGGTCCTCTGCATCCACCTGGCATCCACGGACAGTCCGCTGCATAAGTCTGTTTATAATAATAATAATAATAAATTTTATTTATACCCCGCCCTCCCCAGCCAAGGCCAGGCTCAGGGCTGCTAACAACCAATAATAACAACAAGTTGAATGATTACAACTTAAAAACAAGATTAAAATACAACATTAAAACATTATAATGCAGCCTCATCACAGGAGGAGAAAGGAAAAAAGAAAGAGGGGGAGGGAATCAATTTGACTCCAAGCCAAAGGCCAGGCGGAACAACTCTGTCTTACATGCCCTGCGGAAAGAAATCAGATCCTACAGGGCCCTGGTCTCATGAGACAGAGTGTTCCACCAGGCCAGAGCCAGTGTTGAAAAAGCCCTGGCTCTGGTTAAGGCTAATCTAACATCCTTAGGGCCCGGGACCTCTAAGGTGTTGCTATTTATGGACCTTAAGTTCCTCCGTGGGGCATACCGGGAGAGTTTAATGTATTCCTGGGTCACTGTCCTTTCTCTGCATCAGGATTGGGGATCTTATTCCTCTCCAGATGCTGTGGACTCTAATTCCCACCATCCCCTCTCTTGACATTAGCCATGCTAACTGGGTCTGATAGGAGTTGGGAGTCTGACAGCACCTGGAAGTCCACAGGTTCCCCATTCCTGCAGTTTTATGTATCCATTTGTGGCTCATAAAATGTGATGGGGGTCTGTGCGAATTGTCCAAGCCCATTTCTAATCAATGCACTCTGCCAGTCTATGCTCTGTTGGGGCTCTTTGAACTGTGGGACTTGGCTCTCAGTATCAGTGTAATTCATCGCTTTGTTTCTGTTGACGTGCATAGGATTGTGTTCAGTATTTTCTCTTTTGCCATCCCCTGTATTCACTCTGCTCACATATCAAAGATGCCAGATGGGTATCAGGTGGCCAGGGCATCTGCCTATGAATCTTGAAGCAACCAACAGACTAAAACCCCTGGAAAGCTGCCACTGTGGAACAAGGTAGATTATATAGGTGGACTATTGGTCTGAGTCTGTGCAAGGCAGTGTTTATATGCTCGTATTGCTAACTCAATACTGTGGAATTTGAGTCATTGTCATTCTATTGTGTTTTATTGTGGGTTGGGGGAAAAACATTTTGATTATCAATATTTTCCTATTTCAGGTGTACTTATTAAAATGTCAATGAGCAGGATATTATCAGCAGGCTTGGGAACTGTCTGTCCTTGTAAGAATGGAGAGAGGAATTATTTGTCTGAAATATAAATGGTGCGATAAAGAGAGAACAAAAGTCCAACCAGATAAGACAGGGCAAAGACTATTGTAGGTTTTTTTTAAAATCTACTTTGATGCATAATTCTAACCTGGAGTTGCTTTATGACATACAGTGACAGAGAATAGAAGCTGGACAAACCTGGCTTGGGAATTCAGCATCTCTGGATGTTTGGGGTCAATTTGAGAATACTGGCCAGGTTCTCAGTTGAAAATACGTACCTGATAGTTGGGAAACCATGTCTTTTGGAATAATACAAGCTGTGCCATGTTCATTTTGACCTTGAAATTTGTGTGTATTGATCATTATGGGAAATGTAGCTTAACCAGAGTTAACATTTGCTAACCCTGGAGTATTAGTTATGGTCAGGAAAAAAAAATCATAAATTATTTGACCTGAGAAACAGCAACGGTGCTGTTCCTTGTTAAAAATAAATAAATCCATCAATGATTTCCATGTACAGAAAGTTTTCTGCTTATACAGTGGTTGATATCTGGAAGGCTTCCAGAGCTAAATAAAAATATGGTAAAAGGTTAGTCCCCCATTTCAGTAGCAAAAAACAGGAAAAGTTTTCAAGAAGTGAGAAATAGACATACACACACACCACGTTACTGATCTATCTCTGTTTTGTATGCAGATTTATATATTTCTGTGTTGTGCATGTTCTCTATAATGAGAAAGGACCAAACTGCAGGGGTGGGGAACCACCAGCCCATGGGTCAGTGTTGGTTCACCAGGTGGTCCAATTTGGCCTGTGAGGCCATTTCCCCAAACTTCAACTGGCTGATGTTATTCTGATGGGTGGGGAAGGGAGATTTCATGTTGCCTGGTGTTTCTTTGCCAGCCGCATTAAATGTGCAGACCCCTCCCTGCAAGTCAACTAAGATATGGACAGGACTGCTCACCTATCAGTCACCTGATGTCATGATGACACCAGATGATTAGCAGGTGGATGACTGTGCCCATCTGTCTAAGTTGACCTGTAGGGTAAGGGAAGAGAAAATCTGGTATGCTCAGCCAAAAATATAACCCCACTCTTGCCCTGTTGCAAGAAGGCAGCATCATTTTTATGGCATCTGTCAACTGGGTGAGGTGATCCGTTTGCCTGGATTGCTGTCTGGAGAATACAGTGGTCCCCGATAATACAAAAGCTGGTCATCCTTGGTTCTGAACTTATGGTCTTGTCTCATAAAGATAATTTAAGATTTAATCCATCAAGTAATGTGTTTTGAGAAGTTCCACTTTCTCTGATTGTGGTTTTTGGTGTCCTGGTTTTATAACCACATAGGATAGTAAGTGATAGAAAAAGTAGCTGAAATGATTAATACCATAGGTGGTGTGTTGGCTGAGTTTTTAGATGTGTGATGTTTGACTAAAGTGGCTGTCTCTCGGGGATAAGATCAAAGGAGGGAACTATCCAAAGAAATTGGAGGGCTTCACACAAGGAAGAGCTCGTGTTTTTGAGCTTTCCATACTTGTTTTCTTTGACTTGCATATGAACTTAAATTTAACACTTTTTGAGAGACTGTAAACCCATTGACTTAATACATGATTATAAGAGTTCATGACTCCAGTTGTTTATTTGTAGTGTTGTTCAAACCAGTAGCATACTGCCTGTTTCAGCAAACACTGAAACTTGTTGATATCACGAATGAGCACAGGTAGGAGAGGGGCTAGATGCAAATGCTTTGCATGCAGATGGTCCCAGATGGTTCCAGGTTCAACCCCCATAAATTCCAGTTTAAAATACATCAGGTAGCAGGTGCTGGGAAAGACTCCATGCCTGAGGTCCCGGAGAGCCTGGTGCCCATCAGAATAGTCGAAAACCCCTCTGACCTGGTATAAGCAGTTTCTTACGTTCCTATCTACAAAACATTCAAATTTAACCAATGCTTAAACTCATCATGCAGTGTAGATTCCTTGACCTTCTTTGAACAAGTTCTGAATCTAGAACTAAAACAACAACAAAAGAAACCACTGCTGTCATTCCTTGCTCTTAGATAGGCTTTCATTAGTATTTGTCTGAATTTACTGTGATGTTGCCTCTGTTTTTAAAGCCAATTTGCACTCCGCTTTTCTTTGAATTTTAGTGCAGCTTTGGTGTTACCTGCTTGATATCAGTTGTCAAGCTGTCGTAGGGAATTCTCAAGCTCCTTGTTAGCTTAGGAGAGGGGTGGGAAACCTGTGGCCTTCCAAATGTTGTTGTTGGACACTAACAGTAATATTGGCCCCAGCCAGCATTGGCTCCAACCAGCATAGCCTATGGTCCAGGATGTTGGGAGTTGTATTCCAGTAACATCTGGAGCACCACAGGTTCTCCAAACCTGGCTTAGAAGTCCCATAAGATAGGAGATGTGGGGACCATTGCTCTAATCCAGTGAGGGTGATGAACATCCAGGAGTGCAGTCTTTATCCTTGGCTTCATTCTCTTTTGCTAGGTTGCTATATCCATCACCTGAGGCTGGGTGTTTAGTGCCTGTTGTTGGGTTGCGACTCTGTATACAGTGGCTATCAGGATTCCTTTGTGACTATGTAAGCCATTGCACTGAAGATGAAAGCATGGACGGATACCTTGCTTTTAAGCGAGTGCCCTGAAGGTAAAAGGGCTGATGGGCGCAGCCCACTAACCTTCCACAATTTTGAGCTAATGTGTTGGAAGCCCTCGGCCTTGTGAGGTTTAGAGCAGCTCCCCCTTGTCTCCCCTGTCTTCATCCCTAGGTTAAGTGTGACTGGTGCCAGTGCCCTTCTTCCCCAGCCAACACTGTCAATGTTGTCAGATGCTATCATTGTTCTGGTGCATGCACACCTTAATCTGTTGCTGCACATGAGGATCTTTTGATCAGGGTTATTGTGCTCCAGTGATATCCCACAGAAATGAGAGAATGCACTATTTAGATGAACGAATACCTAGTACCCGTCATAAGCCTCTAATGGTAAGTGTAATACAAAAACCCTAATGAAATAAATGCCTAATCTTTATTTCTTTGTTCTAGAGCTTGCCCACCTTGAATAACAACACTAGCTCAGATTGGAAGCTGCCAAGAGGCTCACTGCATCTCTTCTCCAAAAAAATTCAAATGGACATAGGTAAGAAGCTTGTTGTTTATGTTCTTTTTTATTATTCCAGTAGACTTATACAGTATTGTTGTAGTTTCTAAAACACTTCTAGATCCCCCGCCCCCCAATGTCTTCTTTCTTTAACATGGCAGCCTCAATTTTTTTGTTCTGCTTTGGGCTTTTTCATGCAATTCTGTAAAAGAATTGTGTAAACTGCATCCATGTAATGTTCCTTAATCTAGGCAGAGGAATACGAAGGAATGCTTGTGTGATTTGGCTGTAGCCTTTTTGGTATTGATGGATCAAAGTGATATTTAGGGCATGTGTTCTTTGGCTTCAAACTGGTATAAGAAAATGAATGTCATATAAACGGATAGGTTGTATTTTTTTGAATAACATGTTTGTGTTTTATTCGTCTATGTGCCTTTCCACTGATTGTCTCTGAGGCAGCTCACATAAGGACAATTTATAAGCATCAAATGCTCTCTGTCTTATATCCCTTTGAGACGGTTTACTAGTTAGCTCTCATGGTTTGTGTTCAGTATTTATTTTTCAATTTTACATAAGCAACTCATGGATCTGGGAATTAAAATAAAGCACTTCCCATTGCCCCTTAGCAGTCAGCTGTAAGGCCCAAGGATTTATAAGTTTTCTGTCACAATTTTATTCCACCCTTCTTTCAAGGAACTCTCAAGGATATGGGATTATTTGGTTGTTTTCAGGTTAAGTGGAGGCATATAGGATTCATTACTGAGTGAGAATTGAATTTGGGATTCCTATTTTCAAACCCATTGCTTTTATCAATGTGACATCAGTTGAGGCTGTGACATACAAGTCTCTTGTGCCTAGAAACCAGGCAAGCCTCCCTGGAGGGAAAATCCACAACTGTGACACCACAGCCCCCAAAAAGCCCTCTCTTGGCTTAATTCCCATCTCATCTCGTCTGATAGGGGTTTCTGGGAGAGGGCCTCAGATAGGTTGATGTGGGTGAAAACAGTCCCTTGACAGTACTTGGATCCCAAACTGTGTAGGGCTTTAAAGGCTGGCACAAACACTTTGAAGGGTGCTCAGAAATGGGTTGGATGCCAGTGAAGCTTTACTTTGGTTATATAACTTCCCAATGATTAAAGTCTATTGGGTGCATTCTGAACTACCGTATTTTTCCGTGTATAAAACTAGGTTTCCCCCCTAAAAAATAATGTCAAAAATTAGGGGGTGTCTTATACACGGATACATCTTCCCTCATTTTCTTAAATCTGAGTCTCCAAAAATAGGGGGTGTCTTATACATGGGGGTGTCTTATAGATGGAAAAATATGGTAACTTAAGCTTTTGGGCAGCCTTCAAGGGTAGGCATACATACAATGCATTGCAGCCGTCTGTTCTGTTAATTATTGGTGAATATGAACAACTGTGGCCAGCCATCTCTGTGGAGGAGGGATGACAGCTGACATATCAGGCTGAACTGGTGAAAAGGTGCTTTGTGCCATTGATGCCATTTGTGTTTCTGGCAGCAAATCTAGATTAAGGAGTAACTTCAAACTGAGGAGCTGATGCTTTTGGTTTGGAGGTTACAGTTCCATTCAGAACAGTTTGAACACCATCTTCCTTATAGAACTCATAATTACAAATTTCACTGGGCAGTTTGCACCACTGTCTTAGTTGTCCTATTAATAATTGTGTAGGTCTGTTGGCTGTCACAAAAACATCAGCACCCTCAATTTATTCCATGTGCAGAATCTTCACATTCTAAACATTTTATTGGTATGTTTCTGCACCTTATCTATCTGCATACTGGCTAGTATTGCTCCATTCCTGGCACTCATTCATCCTGGGACTATAAATGCACAAACCTTTTTTATCTGTTAAGAACTAAAAATAGCATACTTGTAGTTTGGACTGTAATTATGCTGTAATTTTTCAATTGCTCACATGGGATAAGATTTATTTTTATAGTATATAATCTGTCTTCCTTTAATTAAAAAAAAGGTTCACAATGTTGCACTCATTTCACTGGTAGTAGTAGAATACAATCGCTGAATAGGCCTTGAACCCAAATCACTTTTTTGCTATGTGTAACATAGCCTTGGACAAAGGACTTCATGTGTCTCTTTGGGACCCCCCATCCCCTGCCCCATGCTTATGTCTCAGTCTTGGGAGTTTCTAGTTATATAACAGTAATTCTCAGTGTTTGGATTGTTTGTCAATGAGTCCTTGGATGCTAACAAATACTAGCAAACTTTTCACTTGTCTTTCCCACGACTGCAAAAGCTTACTTTAGTACCTGCAATCTTTCCTTCCCAAAAGTTACACATGGGTACAGTGGTACCTCGGGTTAAGAACTTAATTCGTTCCAGAGGTCCGTTCTTAACCTGAAACTGTTCTTAACCTGAAGCAACACTTTAGCTAATGGGGCTTCCTGCTGCCGCTGCACCGCCGCTGCACGATTTCGGTTCTCATCCTGAAGCAAAGTTCTTAACCCTAGGTAATATTTCTGGGTTAGCTGAGTCTAACCTGAAGCGTATATAACCTGAAGCGTATGCAACCCGAGGTACCACTGTAATAGATTTCATTTGCTTTTAAAGGGGCAGGCAAATTTTCTCCAGATTGTGTTATCAGAAGAGGCAATGAAGGGGCACACAGGTTGCAAATAATGGCTTTTGGGTTTGAATGTCACCCACCCCTTTTAGGTACAGGTTTTATAGCTGATAATACAGAAAAAAATATTATTACGTAAACAAACTTTAACATTACTTTTCAAAGAGGAAAGTGAAAAGGCATGCTAATAGAAGCTGGCAGAGCGATCCCATGCAAACCTGAATAAAAAAATTGTGCTGGCATTGCAAGCTGCTTTACAAAAGACACAGTGCACAGAAGTCATAAACTTGCATGTGTATTTTTGGGGGGATTTGTGTTTCACGCAAGGCAAGTTTGTCAAATTCCCACCCAGATTCTGCTGCAAAATCAATTTCTCTTCAAATAGCCCGTTCATCATCCTCTGCCCCCCCCCTGAATTAAAAATGAAAAGGGTTCACATCACAGTACCCTTCAGGTGGGGAGAGGGTGGGGGATCCTTGCTATGAGATGAGATGGCCAGCAGGTGGTGTGTCTATTTGTTTTTACTTGCTTAAACCAATAAGGATTTGGCAGCTTTAGGGTTGAGGCCATGGTTCAGGGCATGTAAGAGTCCTCCTGGACTTGCATGGTTGCCCCTTCGCTGCTGATATCCAGTAGCATGCTGCCTGCAAATCCATGCAGGCATCAGGCGTCATTAGTAGCCTTCTTCCATGAATTTTGCTCTTTTAAAGATATCTGCGTTAGTGGCTATCACTCCATGCATTATGGACTGTGTTGTTCCTTGTGTGATTATCAATAGTCTATTTGCATGAAAAGCCAAATATATGACCCCTTAAGATCTTCTGGGCATTCTTTCAGATTTCTGTGCACCACTATCATATCTTATGTGCAGTCTACATTGAGATGAAAGTATGTTTGAAGAAATATGAGGCTAAGGCCCAAACTACATGTTACATATAGTTGTGTGTAAGTTAAAAATAATTACTAATAGCAGTACAGTGGTGCCTCGCAAGACGAAATTAATTCGTTCCGCGAGTTTTGTCGTCTTGCGATTTTTTTCGTCTTGCGAAGCACGGTGTCGGGAAAGTTTTGGAAAAGCTTCAAAAATCACCAAAGTCTTTAAAAACCTCAAAAAAGGCTACCACACCGCGTTCTGTGAGTTGCTCCTCGAAGTCAAGTCGCAACTGTATTAACGGTGTTAAGAAAAAGGAAACAAACTTGCAAGACGTTTCCGTCTTGCGAAGCAAACCCATAGGGAAAATTGTCTTGCGAAGCAGCTCAAAAAACGAAAAACCCTTTCGTCTAGCGAGTTTTTTGTCTTGTGAGGCATTCGTCTTGCGAGGTACCACTGTAATGGAAAACAGCTGAAGGGGAAAGAGTGGAGAATGCAGCCAAAGCAGATAGAGTTAACTTAGTTACCGTATTTTTCGCTCTATAAGACGCACCAGACCACAAGACGCACCTAGTTTTTGGAGGAGGAAAACAAGAAAAAAAATATTCTGAATCTCAGAAGCCAGAACAGCAAGAGGGATTGCTGCGCAGTGAAATCAGCAATCCCTCTTGCTGTTCTGGCTTCTGGGATAGCTGCGCAGCCTGCATTCGCTCCATAAGACGCACACACATTTCCCCTTACTTTTTAGGAGGGAAAAAGTGAGTCTTATAGAGCAAAAAATACGGTAAGTACACCCTCATACTTGCTGGTACTCTGCTCAAGATTGCAGCCTCCAGCAGCCACTTTTGGTTAAAACAACAAATAACAAGGAGGGGAGGAACTGTGTTCATTTTAAACTCCACCACCACACTTTCCAATAAACCTTTGCAGTAGCAGATAGGATAATTGAGCAGTTTAGACCCCAGTGTGTTGCATATAGCGAACAAGCATAGCGCCAAGAAAATACATGCAAAGCCAAATAGCTTAAGCTGACTTGTGCAATGAGCCAAACCGCATGCTACAGGGGAAAGCAAAAAGAAAAGCAAAATCCCTTCAAGGTCCCTAACCTATCTGACCTTGGGGAAAGTAAGTCTTTCTTGATTGGATATGGCAGTCATTCAGACCCCAGAGGAAGGAAGGAAAAAAACATTTAAAACTCACGTAAAGGGGAAACTCCAGTGTTCCACAACTAAGGCCATATCCTGTAAGGCTATTGATCAGAAGTAATCAGCCGTGTATGATCATGGCCACATGAGCCGAAAGAGTATGTGGATATACACTTGACAATCTATTGGAGCCTGGTGGTGGTTGTTGTTACTTTTATGCTTTTGAGTTTCTCAGGATTTGAACAGGAATCTCTAGTACTGTACTGTAATGCCCGTTCACAGCTTGGGAACTTTGGAGATGATTAGTAACAGTTTTAGTAGTAAAGATGTAGCCCATTAAGTCTCTTAAAGGTAAAGGTACCCCTGCCCGTACGGGCCAGTCTTGACAGACTCTAGGGTTGTGCGCTCATCTCACTC